CTTTTGCTTCAGAGTGGGCCATTCTAGAGGAGTTCAACATCTCCCTCCCCAAGCTTGCTTGCTTGCTTTTTCTTTTCATTTTAAAATCTAGCTTGTGCCACGGGGCAAACATTTTGATCAGCCGTTTTACTGGCACATCCTTCACAAATCTGGCAATGCAATAGTTGGATCGCACGCAGAAGGGTCGCACCATCACCACCACAATCAGTTCCAGAACATTTTCTTCATCGTGGGCCCGCTGTCATTCGCTCCCTGCTTCCCCATCTCCCCAGGGACCATTCATCTCGACAGTATAGACTCCCCTATGCCAGATTTCATCCACAGGAGACCGTTTTAAAGCAAACGAACAAAAACTAACAACCGTAACAAAGTAAATAAGAGGAAAACCTCAACTGTAAAGGAGAAAATATGACAAATGAAGGCACTTTTTAAGTAGGCCAACAGGGAGAGAGCTCCCATGGTTTCCGACAAGTCCCAGTCTAAGGGATACTTTTACCACAGTCAGAGACCTGGCTTTAGGTAAACAGGCACTCAATGTACGGCTGGGTTGAATCGCTCCTGGGAGAGTTAGTGGGCGCCCTGGCGGGTTAGGCTTTGGGCTGCTAACGGAAAGGTCAGCAGGTTGAAACTTCGGCTGAGACTTAAGTCTGGGAAACCCAGAGGGGCGGTTTCCGCCGTCTCCAGGGTCACTACAAGTCGAGTCGGAAGTGACTCGGTGGCAAGGAGTTGGGTTTGGGTTTGGCATGCGTCATGGCCGATTTATGAAACTCTCCCAGGCCTTCGGATTCTCCCTCCTGGCTCACTCACCACCTATCAAGGGGCCTCAGGTGGCATTTTTGCCAACAGGGGGCTGGGTGTCCTCCATTGGCTGCCCTGTGTCCACGCTCTACCTTGCTCAGTGACTCAGGCTTTTAGAGACCACACCCCTACCCTCACCCTGGGCTCCTTCACCCTCAGGGCGGGGTGGGTCAGCAGGCACGCTTTTCAGAGAGAGCAACCCCGAGGAGAAGCAATGGTGCAAATCCCTTTCCCGGGCTCCATCACTGTGGGGCTATGCCCACTGCAGTGTGGTCCTCTCCTACCGATATAAATCTGGCCAGATTCCAGTA